CACGTTAGTTCCCTGACGAGTCAGGGGCTTTCCAGGGCGAGCTCTGTCACCTTCCAGTCTTCAGCCCCCTAATATATGTGTGTGATAAAGTACATGCCCATACGATTATACATCTCTGTCCCCTATCATATATGTGTGTAATACAGTACATGCTCATATGATTATACATGTCTGTTCCCTGTCATATGTGTGTAATACAGTACATGCCCATATGATTATGCACGTCTGTGCCCTATTATATGTGTGTAAGTACATGCTCATACGATTATACATGCTTGTCCCCTATCATATGTGTGTCCAACATAAAAAATCAGTACAGAACACTGTCTGGGTGGAACCCCGATATCTGCCTTTTCTCTCTGAGGTTTGAGTCTTTTATGATAGTGTTCTCTTCCCCTGTTCCCTCCCCCTATTTTATTAAAACATTTTCCCCAGCGTGTAGAAAAGCTGATAACAGTTTGGAGTGAACACCGATGTATTTACCACCTGGATTCTTCAGGTGCCATTTTTCTTTATTTGCTTCTCTGCCTACCCATACACCAATCCGTCTGTCCATCCCTCTGTCCTCGATTGTTTTTCGTTTTTTACCCTCCCCCGAGGGTATTTCCCACTGCTTTTTAGGGAGTGTGGGGAGGGGGGAGAGAGAGAGAAGCATCGATGTGAGAGAGAGACATGGATTGTTTGCCTCCCGCACACGCCCTGAGGATCTAGCCTGCAACCGAGGCACGTGCCCTTGGCTGGAATTGAACCCGGGACCCTTCAGTCCGCGAGCCGGCGCTCTAACCACTGAGAGAAACAGCCAGGGCTCTCCAGCTATCTTGTTCTTTTGGATGCTTGCAAAATAAGTTGCAGACTCATGCTGATGTAATGATGACTTCTCTCTTGACATTTAGTCTTTTTCCTTTCAATTCTGGATTCTTAAAAATTGCTTTTTAACCTTGCTTGAGGTCACCTTACCTGTTTCCTCTGCTCACCCAAACCTGCACATTTCCCCCTTCACAGTCATGAACTCAGTGTATCTATCCGTATTACATAAACCCTGGGTGCCCACTCTCTTAATCTCACGCTTTAATTTTTCTCTCGGTTACTTCCTCTCTTATCTTCTCAGTCACCACAAATTTCCTTTTGCTTTCTCGTCTCTCAGTTCCCAGCAGATAATTTTTAAACAGCAGCTGAACAGTATCCCCAGTGTCCTGCGAGTCTGCGTATTCACAGCACGTCCATGTTTGCTCAGAACAGAAGGAACACAATTTCTTCCATTTTATTTCTTTGCAATGAAGTGATTAAGTCTGTCTTCATGACCTTCATAGATCTGATCATTTGGCTATTTTTTAGTCTGTTTAATAGAGTAAGTAAAGCTGCCTTCCCTTTGCAGGAGGGATCTTTACCACTAAACAGCGCGGTAAATGCCATGGGAATAATGCATCTTTTGTATGGCGAGAGAGACGCTGCCACCCTATAGGTGCTGAGTGTTTAAGTTATTATACGGCAATTCATGCTAGATACATATCTGCATTGTTGTACAAGTATTTTTGTATTTTGGTTAAAAATGGCTTTTTGAAGGGAATCCTACTCTTTCAGGGCAGACTTAGAAGCCCCATTCCATGGCCTAGTACATTTAATTTTATTCCCCTGGTCAGCAGTCTTTCAGCATGAGGTAAAAGACTGTGAACAGCTTGGCCAGCATGGCCCAGTGGTTGAGCATCGACCTAGGATCCAAGAGATCAGGGTTCAATTCCCGGTCAGGGCACACGCCCGGGTTGCGGGCTTGATCCCCAGTCGGGGGCGTGCACAAGGCAGCTGATCAATGACGACTGTGAACAATCTCCAGCAACTCAGACACCACTATATTTTATTTACTAAAAAGTAGAATAAAGCTTTTAGTAAAAAATCTTAAGTAGCAGTTTCCTTTTGGTGAGAATCAGTTCCACAACAATCTTTTCAATCTTATCTATGATTTTAAGGCTGAGTTGGCTATTTCAAAGTGAAGGGATAAAAAGGAAAAAGGGGGGAAATATTCATAATAAAATATGAGAAGAAAGTGAAGAGAAATTGTCCAGATTTATATTAGCAATTCCTACTTATAAATGTCAGAATTCCTGTATATGAGTTCTTGCTTTGATGCTTGAGGATTAAGTGGTGACTTCATTCGTTCCTTTGCTCACCACTCACTAATCACCACTCTGCAAGGCACTGATCAAGTGCTGCGAACGTAAAGATGAAGAAGACAGCTCTTCCTCGGAGAGGTCACAGTTCAGTAGGGAGATAGGCACACAGTTAGGCAGTTACATCCGAGGTACCATGGTGCTCACACAGAGAATTGGGGTTGAGGGGAGCCTACCCTAAACTGAAGAGGGTAAGAATGTTCAGAAAGCCTTCCTGAGGACAAATGGGAGTTAGCCAATTGGAGAAGAAAGGAATAGTTGTTAAAACTCTTTTATTGCAAGCAATATACAGCTCAGGGCAAACTGACTTAATAAAAAAAGTGAATTTATTGGCTCATGTATCTGAAAGGTCCAGGAGATTTCGACTTCAGATATAGCTGGATCCAGGGTCTAGTACAGTGTCATTAGGAATCTGCCACTGGGGGGTCTACCCAATAGTATCTCCCCTCTTTCTTGCTAATATAACCCCAAATTTGTTCACTCTCCTTGGAATTGCTATGCCCTGTTTCCAAATGCACCACATTCTGAAGGACCAGAGGTTAGGACTTAAGTATATGAATTGGAGGGGTGGGAGCATAATTCAACTGATAATGCCCTGCCTTTTCTTTCCCTTCTCTCAGATCTCCTACTGGCACCTCCCATTGGTGGGACCCAACGAGAGAGTAAAGGAGCCTGGGTGATGTGACCCATAGAATGAGCCTCCTGAGGCACGTAGCAGGGCGGAGAAGGGTAGACCTGGAGGGGCAAAGAGATTTTCCAGCAGGCTCTATATGGCCTTCATTCCTGGGAAGGATCTCTACACAGGGCAAGCAACACCTCTAGGTTTACTTTGTTTAAGCCCCTGCCATCTTAAAAGGAGAGCCACCCTCTGCCTCCCAGTTTAAATAACAGTTCTCTAAAAGGAGTTAAGGGTTCTGTTTGGGTTACAAGGACTTTAAAGGGCCTGGGAGGCAGGATACCTGGTCCTCCACCCCAGTGCCCTTCTCAGCATGCCTGCTCCCCCATTACTGCAGGATGTTTCCCCCTGTGGTTTACTAGCCTTGTCTGACACCTGGGTACTGCATTCAGTTGCATGTTATGATAACTCAAGAGCAGTGGTAATAGTCCAAATGAAGTTTAATTTTCCTTACACATCAAGATGTCCAGAGTAGGTCAGGCCCGAGCTGGTGCTGTGGCTTAAGGAAGTCATTTAAGGCCCAGGCTCTTTCTAACTCACTGCTCCACATCTTCAGCATGTGGCTTTTGGCCTCATGGCTGAGGTGCTGCTCCACATCCGGCCCTACATTGGTGTTCCAGACTGAAAGAAGGAGAAGGGACCCTCAAGGCAGAAGGGGGACAAAAATGAAGAGAGCAGAACTTTCTCAGAAATCCATAGGACATGTCCATTTCTGTCTCGTCAGCAGAACTGTGTCATATGGCTGTCCCTTCCTACATGGGAGGCAGGGAAATGTAGTTTTTCCCCTGGGCGGATTGTCAGTCAGGTTCCTATTAATAAACATGAAGTAGAGAGTGGCTCTTGGGTAGACAGCTGGCAGGGTCAAGTGCACTGTCCAGTAGCACCTGTGTGCTTGGCTTCCAGATTTGAAAGTGGCACCAAACCTGAAGTAATGCTGTTCTGAGGATTTGAGTGGACTGGGGGAAAGCAATAAATACAGTTTACTCAGATTTAAATAAAATCCTTCTGAGAAAATTCTAAAAGCATATAATAAGCTCCCTACTATGAGCGCTATCTTTCATTAGTCCCTGCTGTCAGAAAATAGGTGCATCTGAAGATGACTGGAGAAACGTCTTCAGAATTCTTTACACTTCCAATGGACTCACCAAAGAAGCTTAGGCCACCCTTGACCCTGGAGTCTTCTCAGCTGACACTCAAGCTGTCTCAGAAGTACTAGCAAAGAACCTTAGCAACTTGACTCTGGACCCTAGTCCCAAATTCTGTTCCCTTCCACCAAAACGTCGCCCCAATAGCAGGACTGAGAAAAAAATGTACAGGGGCTTGGACTGGGGCTGGGTGAAGGCCTGCTCTACAGGAGGCTATGTGGAGTGAGGACATTGGCATCTGTCTGGAAAGAAAGGCTCCGAAGGACCCTACAAACTATTAGATACTACACCTTAATATCTCTGCTTAAAAAAGACCCAGAGGAGGGAAACTTGAGATTGAATCAAGATTCAGAAGATTTGGATATAGTTGTCATTATTGCCTATGTTGTGGAAATCCTTCTGATAACATTAGCATAGAAAATAATTATGACGTAGAGTTGATTTAGCTATAAACCTTGTACTTTTTTTTCTTGCTAGTAATTTTAAGGTCATTATGAAGCAGCGTAGGTAACTTATAAGGAACATTTGAGTTATAACAAATTTTTGATGTGCTATTTCAATTTCTCAATAGCAAATGTGTGTATAGGCATCATATTAAAATTTGAGGCATATTTGAAATCTTAAAAACAAAAGAATTCTTGCCCAGCCAGTGTGGCTCAGCGGTTGAGCACCAACCTATGATCCAGGAGATCCTGGCTCGATTCTTGGTCAGGGCACATGCCCGGGTTGTAGGCTTGATCCCCAGCAGGGGCCATGCAGGAGGCAGCCGATCAATGACTCTCTCATCATTGGTGTTTCTCTCTCTCTTTCTCTCCCTCTCTCTCTGAAACCAATAAAAATATATTTAAAAAGAATTCTTTATATCACCTGAGTCACTATTTGCTGATGTGCTCACAACCCTAATAGATGCTTTATACAGATTTCATCCCGCACAGCAGCCAATTAACCTCTCTTCCTTTGTCCTGCTCAGTATGTGAGCAAAGAATATAATTTAATTCTTTCTTCTCTCTTTAGAGGAAAAGAACCAAATTCATTGCCTGTGATTTTCTGACCGAGTGGTTATACAAGTAAGTTTTTCATGAATATTCAGTGGCCCTAAAGATTCAGTAGTGTTGATTTGCAAGCAGGGTAGCAGCAATTGACTTAAATTCTTCCTTATTGTGTTCTTGTCAATCAAACGTGGCATCATCGTGACCAGTCAGAACCCCAAGAGGGCAGGGGAGCCATCTACGGAATTCTGCTCCATCCCGTTCGTGGAGCAGTGGCTGACGCAACAGTAAGTGCCCACATAAGGCTTTGAAGAATTTATTCCTGATTTTAAAATCATGTTAATGATAGTTTTCTTAAATCTAAGAGAACTAACTCATGTAATCCACCCAGGTCCCCAGGCCAGTTACATTTGTGCCTCCTTTCTCTCTTTGCTTTCAGTCTAGGCTAAGGGCATCTACCCATGCAGTGATTATTCAAGAAGCACTTCAGAAATAAAATAGAAAACTTTAAACAATTCTTTTTTTTTAAATCCTCATCTGAGGATCCCCCCCCCCCCAT